ACCCAAGAAGGGCTCCCACAGGACATACAGAACATCCCACAGCACAGGAGAGTAGCTGCCTCTACCAGGGTGGAGAGAACAGCTCACACCTGACCGGGCATGGTAGTTTATATAGGATGTCTTGGGGGCAGAATCAACCAGTGATTAGTCAGTTTTTTTCTGCCCAGGGATTGGACAGTTTTGTGGGCTAGGGACAGAGATGGCCCCAATTTCAGGGCCAAACTGTGTTTCTTTCACTGGCCTTTCTTGGCTTTTTGACACTACCTCTAAGGCCAGGGCACATTTCTTTCACTGACTCTGATTTTAGGGACCAGGAGTGTTTCTTTCGCACTAGCTTCAGAGTCAGGGCATATTTCCTTGGTTCTGGGTTTGGGGATAAACTTTTCATTTCTCTGGCTCAGTTCCCAAACCCAGGCTGTGTTTCTTTCCCTGGTCCTGGGCCCCAGGGCCAGGATTCTACTGTCCTGCTCTGTGATTGGTTGGTTTCACAAGTCATTTGGCCAGGGCAGAGATGGTTCTGATTTGAGCCAAACTATGTTTCTTTTACTAGCCTTATCTGAGCCATCTTTCCCTAGTTCTAGGCTCCAGGGTCAGTTTCTTTAGCCCAAGTTGCCTTCTGGCCTACATGCACGCGCGCACACACACACACACACACACACACACACACACACACACACACGCCACCGCTTGGCATGGGCACACCTGTGTGACCAATGGGTGACCTTTTGCAATTAAGAGGCTGAAAATTCCAACCTCAATCAAGCTACAGCCATTCTGAACATATGCCCTCATTAAAACTATGCTTTTCCAAAGCACACGCAGACCACAAGGCATTTCACCTCCCTCCTTTCCCCCATGCCTTTCATTGCCCTGTTCTCTACTCCATAAATCTCTAAATCCTACCTACCCTCCAGGAGTGGATGGAAGTTCAGTCACCCATCTCCACCTCCAGCTGCCTTGCAAAACTTCTTTCAGTGATTGGCACATTGCGTGGTAGACAAGTAGGACCTAGCTTGGTACTGCTCTCAACGAAGGATAAGACATGTCATTCAAAAATAGCCACACTGGCTAGTTAGCCTAGCCCATTAGTGAGCTCCAAGTTCAGTGAGAGACCCTATCTCAAAGGACAAGATGAAGAGAGATAGGGGAATATCCCTGATATAGGCCTCTGTTCTCTACACGTGAGCACGCACAGGCATAGAGTACACACACACACACACACACACACACACACACACACATCCCTGCAAGATCCAATTTGAAAGGGCTGCACTGGTCAAATATGAGATCATACAACACAGGGTCAGTAAGGAAAAAGAAAGAAACCCATTGGTCCATCCGGATAAAAGTAAATTAAATGGCTTGGGTTGGCAAGATGGGGCAGCAGGAAAAGTCCTTGCACTGTGAGCCTGGCTACCTGGGTTCAAGCCCTGAAACTCACACAAAGGTGGAGAGAACTGACTCCACAAAGTTGTTCTCTGACCTCCACATGTAGGTCACAGCATGTGCCTTACCCCACAAATGGAGACACACGTTGTGGTTCTCAACCAGACATCCTGCATATCAGATATTTAAATTATGATTCATAACAGTAGCAAAATGACAGTTATGAAGTAGCAACGAAATAATTTTATGGTTGGAGGGATCACCACAACATGAGGAACTATATGAAAGGGTTGAAGCATTAGGAAGGTTGAGAACCACGGCACTGTAGTAATAAGAAATATAGTTTTCTGTTTTTTCAAGACAGGGTTTCTCTGTGTTACCCTGGCTCTCCTAGAACTCGCTCTGTAGACCAGGCTGGCCTCAAACTCACAGAGATCCACTTGCTTCTGCCTCCCAAGTGCTGGGATTAAAGGCATGCGCCACCACTGCCAGGCAGAAATTCTTAAAAATTTTCAAAGTTAAAGAGCTGACCTCTTGATAACTATCAAATAAAATAATAGTTAATACTCAGGTTGAAGGAATGATGAAATCAAGTCAGCTCTTTGTACCAAGAAGTAACTGATGCCCCATGTGTCCTCAATGAATGCTCTGTCACTTGGGTCAAAGGTTGCTAGGGAACACTGTATTTACCAGTCTCAAAATATCACTCCACTCATTTACTTATTAATCAAGAGAAAGATGGGGGTGAGAGAGATGGTGCAGAAGATCCAGGTTCGATTCCCAGCATCCACGGGTTGGCTCACAACTCCAGTTCCTGGGCTGACCATGTGTGTGCGTGTATGTATGTATGTATGTATGTATGTATGTATATAGTATGTATGTCAAGGGCGCCAGATGCCCTGGAACTGGAATTACTGATGGTTGAGCTACCAGGTGGGTGCTGGGGATTGCAACCCTGGTCCTCTGGAAGAGCAGTTAAGTACTCAAACTTCTGAGGCATCTCGACAGCCTCGATCCCATAATCTGCATAACCTATTATTCTATTGAAATGTGTACCCTGATTGGAACCCGGGGTTTGAAAAAAGATCAATAAAGGATATTGTTGGGCAGCAGGGGCACCAGCACGCAGACAGTGGCTAACAGTGCTGAAGTCACTTCCGTTTTCCATTTGTTTTGTGGCAGCAGAGGAGACTGTCGCTGGGAGGGGTGCGCGGAGGGGAGGGGGCCGACTACAGCTAACTAATGTCAGGTGGTGTGGAGGAAAGAGAGGAAAAGAGAGAATCAAACCTGTGCAAATTGTTCACAGCTGCTGTGTTAAGGCTCAGGCGGCTTGAATGCAGGCTGGGCTTTACCCAAACACCTCCCTAGGAACGGAGGTGTGACTGAGTTCTGCCCACCAGGGTGCATGTTGGTCTGTCAGGCTAGGGCTTCAGCCGCCTGCACCCCTCGGCTAGCTGCCCCCTTCTTGAGGGGCTGGTCTGATCTCCTGATCCCACCGCCATGGCAGCTTCTGTTATTCTGTGCACCAGATGCGCCTTTAGGTAGGAGCTTTGCAGCAGGGTAAATTGAGGCATTGGAGGGGCGGGCTAGGAGCCTGCGCCGTGGAATCCACATTGGCATCCTTTCTTCCACTAAGCGGGGTAGAACCAGACACCCCCGGGGGGTGTGGGAGGGGCGGGGCCGGCCCTGCTGTCAATCTCAAGCCGGCGGCGGCCGACTGGCGGTCCCGGTGGGCTCCAAGTCAGCTCACTGCCTTCACCAATTGCAGGGCGCGGCTCTCGAAATCCACTCCCAATTGGTCGCCCATGATATCACGTCATCTTGGGCGGGGCTTCAGGCAGACACTTGGGGCTCCGCTGGAGAGCGCGGGTCAACCGCCTGAACACGGCAAGCAGGTGAGGTTTTGTGTGCACTGACCAGGACAGAGTGCGAGAATGGGACCGTGCGCACAGACAGAGGGTGGGGGAGAGTGCAGGAGAGGGGGCCGTATGTACAGATTGCGGGGGGTGGGGGGTGAGTATTCAGGAAAAGAGGCGGTGTGTAAGATGGGAGGATGTGCGTGTGATCCGAATGTGTATGTCGACTGAGGCATGCGCGTTTGCACAGGTTTTGGGGAGATTGGGGAACAAATGTGCAGATTTGGGGGCGTATGCTCAGGCGAGGGACCAGTGTGCAGATCAGGGGCATGTGCACAGGACAGGAGGCTGTGTGCTCGAGTTTGGAGAGATGTGTGCTAGGGGAAGGGGACGGTGGGCCCAGTGGCTGGGGGTCGGGGGACGTAGGGGATGCTTGCTCAGATGGGCAGGTGAACCTTCGAGTAGGTATGGCGGTGGACCTTGTTTTCCTTAGCTGGGGCCTGTGGCTAGGAGAGGCAGCCATCTCCTGTGGGATGAGGTCCCAGTTCCCCGGGGGACCTGCGAATGCTCTGACGTAGGGGGCAAGTGTAGACACACACCCTTTGGCCCATGTTCCTACCTCAGGGTACATACAGCTTGGTGAATCTTTTCAGGAGGATTTGAATGATTCTAATTATTCTCCCAGAAGACAGATGGATTACCTGCTGGCATGAGGGTCCTGGGAAGTTCTAGGCATACCTGGCCTCTCCAAGGTTGTGGAGAGTCCCCCACCCCACTAAAGATCAAGATGGTTTTCAGAGGACGAATTCAAACAACAGAACATCCTTAATTTTTGAGCTACTTTTGATAGAATCTTCCTGAAACTGCTCTTTAAAACAAAACAAAGAGCCAAAGTAGCTGATGGCATAGTGGATCTGCATGCCAGGAAGAGGTACACCGAGCAGGGTAGAGTAAGGCTGTGCTACCAAAGAATTGGTAAAACAACCAACCAACCAAACAAACAAACAAAAAAGCTTTGGGACAGAAAGGTGGAACAGTAGATATGTGTAAATAATAAATCTGTGAACAACCTGGGAGGGTAATAAGGCCTGGGGTGGACCTGAGAAAGGGGAAAACACTTGGTTTCACATCTGATGGATATTTTGGAACTTCTGAAAAGCAGAGAACCTATAACTTCGGGTAGAACAAGAAATTATTCCAAAGACTCAGGGATCAGGGTGTCAGGTCATTTCCTTCCTCGTTGGGCTCATGCTTATTTCTGGGGCCTCCAGGAACTGCAGTTCCTCCACAGGGACCCCCAAACTTTCAAGACAAGTCAGACCAGAGTTCTGCAGCCTTGGGTCACTCCAGTAGCCAGCCTCACTTGACCTGGGGAAAGTGGTGGGACACAGTAGACTAACAGATGCCATTTAGCTACAGAAGTTTGTCTGTTAGAAAAATGGAGGAAAACCCAGTGTGCCCCGACTTGTAATACTCTCAGAGGATCCAAATGGAACCTCTCATCTTCTGGTTCCTTCCATGATATGGGAGGTGCTGGCCCTGCTGACTGCAGAGCCAGCTCTTTGTGGCACTGGGTGCCAGAGCATCTGATTTCTCTGGTGATTGTCAGTGGGTGTGACATAACTTTTCATGTCTGTACAAGGCACTACAAAAAGTAATTGCATCTGCCCACTGCCACCACCCCGAGTATTTCCCAGGATAAATTCCCGTCGGTCCATGCAGGTGGACATGTTTCTCACCACCCACCCATTTCCAGGATTTCCTACCTTTTCATCTTAAAATCCAACACCACACCTGGGGCTAACAAATCTCCAGATTGGACACCCTATTGCTTCTGGAAAATTCCAGCAACATAGATGCCTCCCTACGTGGAAGGTCCCTGGAATCTGGTATGCAAAGTTAGCCATGTCATTACTTCACGGACTCCCAGTGTGCCAAAGTGGAGCAACAGACCCAGCCTTGTCTCCTAGGCTGTGTTAGCAGCCAGCATATTGCCCTGCTTTCCTCTTCACCAGTGTCTCATCTGTGTAGGTGGGTGTAACATTGCTCATTCTTCAGGTAGCCTGGGCACCTGGCTCTTGGTAGATGCTGAATGGCTGGTAGTTGCTAGTGGCAGGCTGTGTCATCCCACGACAGCCCCAGCAGCAGCTCCTCTAGCCATACCTTCCTGTTGCCCCTTCAGGATGTGAAGTGACTGAGCTGTGGCTACTAGGGTCTCCAAGGCGAGATCTGAAAGGCTCCCCTTCCCCCCAGCAACTGCCCTTGTGAGTGCTCTCACTGGCTTGAGGCCACTCATGAGCTAGGCCAAGTCAGCCCACATGGGCCTGTGGGAGGAGACTCTGGGCATCTAAAGCTTAATGTACAGCTGACTACTCCTATAATACACCCCTGCAGCCCATTCCTTCCCTAATTTCTGACCTACAGAAACCATGAGAGATGCTGAAAAATTTGTTTTGGTTTGCCATGCCCCAGTAACTGGAAGGTTAGTCTAAACCTCAACGCCATAGGTTTGTGCTTTCTACTGATTTAGTAGCTGTCTGCTGACCACTACACATGCTCCCCTCCACAGGATAAATAAATAATAGTAATTAAAAACTGTGGTGGCATACACCTACAACTCTAGTACTTAGGAGATGAAGGCTGAAGAGTCAGGAATTCAAGGTTATTTTTGGCTACACATCAAGTTCAAGGCTACATGGCCATCCAGAAAGACAGGCCTGCCACTTTCCTCTGTTCTGGGTGTCACCTCTCAAGGCCACAGGTGTTCTGCTTTCACAACCAACCATCCTGGTAGCAGTAGTTTCCTTTACAGGTTGGCACCCCTCACAGCCCCTCCCCTCAGCTCTACAGCGTGGAGGTTCATCATGAGCACCTTTTGCTTTTCTCTTCCCGAAGTGTCATTGAAATCATCCCATCGCCTTAGTCTGGTGGATGTTTTTCCAGTTGCTGTGTGGCCAGGCTACCTTGACCTGAGTCATATTCTCTTTCTTTCTTTCTTTCTTTCTTTCTTTCTTTCTTTCTTTCTTTCTTTCTTTCTTTCTTTCTTTCTTTCTTTCTTTCTTTCTTTCTTTCTCT